AATATAGCTGCCGCAACTCTTTACTTAATTGCCTTTCTGATGAGCTTTATGATTACTATGAAAGAACATACTCCATTGCCAAGGAAACTTGGGATGCTTTGCATAAAAAATATGACACTGAGGAGGCTGGTGCAAAAATGTATGTTGGTAGCTGATGGCTGCGTTTCCAAATGTTGGATGACAAGTCGGTGGTGTCACAAATTCAAGATTTGCAAATGCTTGCTCATGAGTTCCGATCTGAAGGCAAACGAATTGATGACAACCTCGAAGTTGTAGCCATTATCAACAAGCTACTACCTTCATGGAAGGAGTTTCAAAAGATGATGCGTCACAAACAAAAGGAGATCACCGTGGAAAATCTATTAACTAGTATTTGAGTTGAAGAAGAGGCAAGGAATCAAGATGCTCGAACTACAAATGGAGGCAACACATCAAAGGTACACTTTGTTGCCACTAATGATAGCTTTCCCAAAAATAATAATTTCAAATATAATGCCCAATTGAGATCTAAGAAGAAAATTGTGAGAAAGAATTATGGGAATCATTCTGTTGGGAGACCAAGTCAAAATTTTAAGGACCAAGTCAAAATTTTAAGAACCAAGAACCTCCTTCAAAACAAAATAGCTATACATGTTTTTTGTGTGGCAAGCTTGGGCATACTGTTAGAGTTTGCAAATTCCGGAAGCATGGGCCTACTCCACAAGTCAACGTAACCGAGGACCCCTTTGTGGCGATGTTATCTAACATAAACATGCTTAATGGCGGTGAGGGATGGTGGATTGATTCTGGTGTCGCAAGGCATGTTTGTAAAGACAAATCTTGGTTCAAAACATTTTCTGAATGTGATGTTGAAAAGGAAGTGAGACTTGGTGATGGTCATACAATCAAGGTTCCTAGCCAAGGAGAAGTGAAATTGAATTTTACCTCTGGAAAAACATTGACTCTCAAAGATGTGCTTTATACTCCTTAAATGAGGAAAAATTTAGTTTCTGGATTTCTTCTTAGTAAGGTTGGCTTCAAAGAGGTTTATGAATCTGGGTATTATGTTTTAACTAAAAATGGTATATTTGTTGGGAAAGGTTATACATGTGATGGCATGTACAAGTTGAATATTGATATGAATAAAGTTCCTTTAAGTTCTATTTATATGATTTCTAATATTGTTTGGCATGCTCATTTATGTCATATTAATAATAAATATATAAAAAATATGAGTAATCTTGGATTGATACCCAAAGTAAATAATGATTTTGAAAAATGTGAATCTTGTAGTTTGACTAAAATTACTAAAAAACCTTTTAAAAGTGTTGAAAGAAAAACTGATTTATTAGAATTAATATATACTGATATTTGTGAATTTGAGAGAGTTTTAACACGTGGTGGTCATAGGTATTTTATTACTTTTATTGATGATTTTTCAAAATATACTTATGTTTATTTGATTAAGCATAAAAGTGATGCTTTTGAAAAATTTCAAATCTTTTTAAATGAGGTTGAAAACCAATTTGGAATGAAGATTAAAAGGTTTAGAAGTGATAGAGGTGGTGAGTATGATTCAAATGATTTTAACAAATTCATACAATCTTTGGGTATCATTCATGAGACTACTCCTCCATATTCACCTTCTTCTAATGGTGTAGCTGAACGTAAAAATCGTACTTTAATTGATTTGACTAATGCTATGCTTGTTAGTTCATGTGCACCATCTAATATGTGGGGTGAAGTTGTTTTGATTGCTTGTTATATTTTAAATCGTAATTCTAATAAGGAAACTAACCTAACTTCTTTGAGTTGTGGAAAAGCTATAAGCCAAATCTTAGTGATCTCAAAGCTTGGGGATGCTTGGCTTATGTAAGATTGACAGATCCAAAAAGACCAAAGTTGGGTGCAAAAGCTACGATATGTGTATTTATTGGGTACGTAACTACAAGTAAGGCATATAGATTCCTTGATCTTGATTCTAATGTTGCTATTGAATCTGTAGATGCTATATTTCATGAAGATAAATTTCCTTTTAAACTTAAGAATGATGGAAGTCATGATTTTACAAAGCAAAATGATTTTGAACCTAGTTCCTCAATTTCATCTCATTTTCAAAACCAAGAGAACATGGATTTTGAACCTAGGAGATGTAAAAGAACACATAAAGAAAGAGATTTTGATTCAGATAATTATGTATATAATGTAGGTGGTGAACCATTGTCTTTTTAAGAAGCTTTAACTTCTTCTGATTCTGATTTTTGGAAAGAAGCTATTAATGATGAAATGGATTCTTTGATTTCTAATAAAACTTCAAAGTTAGTAGATTTACCTCTTGGTTGTAAAACAATAGGTTGTAAATGGGTTTTAAGGAAAAAACTTAAACCGGATGGAACCATAGATAAATGTAAAGCAAGACTTGTTGTAAAAGGTTTCAAACAAAGGGAGGAACTAGACTTTTTTGATACTTTTTCACTGTAACAAGAGTGACTTCCATTAGAGTACTTATAGCTGTAGCTACCATTCATAACATGCTCATCCATCAAATGGATGTTAAAACGGCATTTTTAAATGGAGACTTGCATGAAGAAATTTACATGGATCAACCTAAAGGTTTTGTTATGTTTGGCCAAGAGGACAAGGTATGTAAATTAATTAAATCTCTTTTTGGTTTGAAACAAACTCCAAAACAATGGCATGAGAAATTTGATACTTGCTTGATAGAAAATAGTTTTAAATCAAGTGAAAGTGATAAATGCATATATTTTGGATTCTTCAATACCTGTCATGTTATCATATGTTTATATGTTGATGATCTCTTGATTTTTGGTTCAAATTTAGAGGTAATTGACACTACTAAGTCATTGTTAAATAAGCATTTTGACATGAAGGATTTGGGTGAGGCTAATGTAATTCGTGGCATGAAAATAACTAGGAATTATGATGGAATCTTTCTTGATCAATGCCATTATATAGAAAAAATTTTGAAAAAATATAACTATCATAATTCTAGACATGTTATGACGCCTTTATCATCCAGTGTGCATTTGTATCCCACTTTACATGATAGAGATATTCTCAATCAAAAGGAATATGCTAGTATCATTGGTAGTTTACGATATCTTACTAATTGCACTAGACTTGATATTTCTTATGCAGTTGGAATGTTAGGGAGATTTACTACCAAGCCTAATTTCTTAAAACACCCTGCTATACTTGAAGGATTTTGTGATGCTGATTGGAACACCTTGTTAGGTGATTCTTTATCTGTTTTAGGGTATATTTTTAAGATTGGTGGTGGTGTTGTGAGTTGGAAGTCTAAAAAATAACAAATAATTGCAAAGTCAACTATGGAGGCAAAGATGATATCATTAGCACTAGCTTCTGAAGAAGCTAGTTGGCTAAGAGATTTTGTGTTTGAAATTCCTTTATGGGAAAAACCAGCGCCTCATGTACTCATTCACTGTGATAGTACTACTGCCATTTACAAGATAAATAACCATTTTTATAATGGTAAATCCAAATCTATTTGAAGGAAACATAGTATTGTGAGGTCCTACTTGGATAATGGGACAATCCACGTGGATTATATACCATCAAGTGAAAATATTGCTGATCCATTTACAAAAGCTCTGGCCAGAAACAAGATCTGGGTTACATCGAGGGGAATGGGATTGAAGCCCAAAGAATGTGGAACTTCTTATGAGGATATCCAACCCAATTCTTGAGAATTTGGGTTTTGAATGGGAAAAACGAATCATAGAGAGGTCATTGTTAAAAGATGCGTTAAAAAAAAATTAATTCTTATCCCATTCCTAAGGTGTAGATGCATCTATCCCATAACGTATGTGAGGGTTGAGTGTTATACACTCTTAATGAAATTTGTAGCTCATTAAGTGAGGTGTCTTAGTTATGGGAGCACCCTTGACAAATTTCACCTATATGAATGTCGGAGTAGGGCCGCTCCTATGAGAATAGGGCTATTCTCTAGATCATCCATAAATACCAGGATTAGGCACAAAGGCCGTAATATGCCGGCTTACCAAGCTTAAATTAACACCTGGATTATAATGTGTGTGATATGATATCCTATATCCTCTAAGTAGTCTTAGTTCAAGACTTTGCTCACTAGTGACTTTGGGATAGGAATCATTGACTCACTAAGTAGAGGTTCAAGGCATTGCTACCTCTATTATGCATAGCAATCTGTCCTTGCCTATATATTTTTCATCTTCTAAATTTCTTTTATTTTTAATTAAAATGGAGGAGGAATGTTGTAAATTTTAATTAAAAATTGTAATCAACAAATCTCATTAATTTCAAAAAAACATTTTTAGTCGGTTATGAGGCTATTACTTAAAAATTTAATCTCACAAGTTACACATTTTTCGACACAACAACAGTTACAAATCAATTATTTTCAAAATTAATTCCAGCCAGCTACGAATCCACTGTCTTCAAATAAAAAAAAAATTTGAAACTTGTGTCAGTTACCCATGCCTTCTTGTTTTTAAATGGATTCATGAGTTTTGTTTTTTTTTTTTTAAATGGGTTTAAATCAATACATCATTACATCAGTTTCATATCTCGTTTGGTAACAGAAAACATTATTGCATTTATCTACATCATTTTCAAATCTTTTTTATAATCGAATTCATTTCAAATTTTAACATTTTGTCTACTTTGGTTACATTGTGAAGCCCTATAAGAAGGCAGCCTAAATATCTACCAAAGGCTAATATAATTTTATGATCTACACTCTTTTTCACAAACACAATATACAACCTCTCTTTAGGCAAGGAAAAGGTGGTGGGGTAGAGCTTTCTTTACAAGAGTGCAGTACTTGTAAAGATACAACAAGGTGAAGGTTGGACTGTTGTATCCTGGGAGCGGCGTGATCATTAGAACTGCTACACCAATGGCATGAAATGTCCTAAAGAGAGTGATTGATCCACACCCCAACTCAAACTCCTCATACTCTCAGTGACATCTTTCTAATTTTCATTTTCATCTTTAATTAATTGTTTTTGCTAATCTTTTGTCTATTTTCTTCTACTTATTTAACGAGGAACAACACTTAGTGCGGTACAACTGCAATGGAAAGATTGGGGACCTAATTGACTAATGATGATAAGGCCATAATTGATTGGGACACAAGCATAGGTGGTACTAGTAAAAGAAGACAGTGTTGAAAAAGTAGAGAATGATGGAGTGAAGGGTAGGTTTGTGGACAATGGAGGTGGGCTTTTTGTCAGTTGAATTTTCCAAATTTCCTCTAAGGGATATTCCTTGTAGTAGGTTGCTGAGGTTGATTATCCAGCTGATATAAATTACACTATTATTGTTGTATTCATTCTTGTATTCATTCTTGTTTGGTCACAACAAAGATTACGTGTAAAAGGTATTCACATGAACCTTTTTGAAAGTTTTGAGTAATGCTATGTGCACAATACATTCTGTCGAGTGCACAAGCACTTCCTACATGATTAGTGTGGGAGTAATATATATATATATATATATATATACATATCTACACACATATGGAGTTAATTGCACTATACAATTAATTAGATGGTCTTTTATTTTAGGTTAAACCCCCTTTTTGGTCCCTCAACTATCGTACGGACCCTCGATTGAGTCCCTCAACTCAAAAAATCCCTGACTTGGTCCCTACTGTTTACCATTTTAACCCCGATTTGGTCCCTCCGTTAAAAATCGCATGACGTGTACTGTTAACTAACGGAAGTATAATGATCTGTTAAAATATTAAACCTACGTGGAAATTCAGCATGGCAAAAAAAATGATTTGGCAATAAAAATTTAAAAATTTTTCTTTTTTCCTCCACTTTCTCTTTCACCTTCCTGTTCCTTTCCTTGCCATCTTCGTCGATCAATTCTTCATC